AGCCATCTTTTAATCAAGGAGCAAAAACTGGTATTAAAACCTCTAGCTTTAAGAACATTGACGATGAAATCCCAATTTAAGGTATCAAAGGCTTTTTTTGATATCAAGTTTGATCAACAGATTGTCACCCCTACAATTTTTATCAAGATCCTGTAATATTTTCTGTGCCAAGAGAATATTATCAAAAATATCACGACCTTTAATAAAAGTCAATTGTTGAGGAGAAATAAGTGAAGGAAGATGAGGTTGGAGGCGAGCCACAATCACTTTACTAATGATTTTAGATATGACCGAGGTTAATGATATGGGCCTAAAATCCTTCCAGTGTGATTTGGCGGTAGACTTAGGAATGAGGACAATCAAGGCAGCAGAGAAATATTTTGTAGGGTCAACTCCCTGGAAAAAACTTTGAATAGCCAGCACCACATCCTTCTTTACAATTTCCCAACAAGAAATATAGAAAGTGGAGGTGAAACCATCAGGGTCAGGAGCTTTCTGCAAGCTAATATCTTTAATGGCATTGAAAATTTCCAACTCAGTAGGGGGGTCTGATAAAGAGAGATTGGAGATCATATCTCTTTGTTCCTCAAAATAGTCAGAAATAATATCAGTGATAGGGGGAGTATCAACATAAAGAGAAGAGAAATAATCAGCTGCATTAGATCCAATCTGATCAACATTAGTAAGAGTGCAGCCCTCTTCAGTAACAATTTTGATGATAGTGTTTATGTTCCGGCGATGTTTGATAGTGGCATGAAAGTATTTAGTATTTCTGTCACCATTCTTAAAATGAATATCACAAGCTTTCTGTCTGAGGTAATCTTCCTCAATAGAGATTTCCTCTAAAAGAGTGTGGTGGGCATCCGCGAGTTTAGACCCAAGATCAGGAGTAGGAGTAGCAATCACCTGAGCCTCTAAATTATCCACCTCATGCTGTGCCTTTAGCACCCTAGAGTGAACATTACCAAAAGTGTCAATATTCCATCTTTTTAAATGAAAAGCCACATTCTTATGCAGTTGCCACAATATAAGCCATGGATTCCCACTTCCATTAGAGACCCAAACCTGTTTAATCAAGTCAATGAAATTAATGTGAGTAGCCCAAACATTAAGAAATTAAAATGATAACGAGAAGGCTTGGAATGAAAATCTAAAGTTAGCAAGATCGGATTATGATCCGAAGCAACATGATTCAAATGCTTGACTTGAATAATATTATAGTAGCTTAAAAACTGAGAATTTCCCAAGAATCTGTC